CAGGATGGTCTCGATCTCCTGACCTCGTGATCCGCCCGTCTCGGCCTCCCAAAGTGCTGGGATTACAGGCTTGAGCCACCGCGCCCAGCCCACCTATGGACATTTCTTGGCATCGTATTACAATGCTTTACAATGTAGCATGGGGTTTGTTTCTTAGATTTTACACAGGAAGTTTACTTACTGATATATAGGTTAAGCGTTCCAAACCAAAAACCCAAAATCCTCCACAATTTGAAACTTTTTGAGCATCAGCCTGATGCTCAAAGGAAATGTTCACTGGAGCATTACGGATTTTGGATTTTTGGATTTGGGATGATCAACTGATAGGTACATTAGGCAAATATTCCAAAATCCAAAAAAATGCAAACTCCAAGACACTGTGATTCCCAAGCTATTTATTTATTTTTTGAGATGGAGTCTTGCACCGTCACCTAGGCTGGAGTGCAGTGGCGCGATCTCAGCTCACTGCAACCCCCACCTCCTGGGTTCAAGTGATTCTTGTGCCTCAACCACCTGAGGAGCTGGGATTACACATATGCATCACTACGCCCAGCGAAATTTTGTATTTTTAGTAGAGACAGGGTTTTGCCATGTTGCCCAGGCTGGTCTTGAACTCCTGACCTCAAGTGATTCTCCCACCTGGGCCTCCCAAATTGCTGGGATTGCAGGCATGAGCCACTGTGCCTAGCCCCCTAGGCATTTAAATGAGGAGCATACTCAACCTGTACTAAAAACACTGTGTTATGAGCTTGTCTTTCCATGTCCCAGAAATGGATTCAGGGACATCATTTCTATTCCTCATAGAAATGAGCCATCTTTAGGTGTCTGGGCGTGGTGACTCATGCCTGTAATCCTAGCACTTTGGAGGGCTGAGGCAGAAGGATCCCTTGAGCCCAGCAGTTTGAGACCAGCCTGGGCAGTGCAATAAGACCCCATCTCTACAAAAGATAAAATTATATCACTTCTCAGCCTTTTGGCTAAGATTAAGTGCAAAAATAATGTTATTAGCTAGGTGTGGTGGTATGCACCTGCAGTTGCAGCTACTCAGGAGGCTGAGGTGGGAGGATCACCTGAGCCCAGAAGGCTGAGGCTTCAGTGAACCGTGATTGTGCCACTGCACTCCAGCCTGGGTGACAGACCAAGACCCTGTCTCAACAAACAAACAAACACGCAAACAAACAAACTCCTTGGGTAATGACCCAGCGGTCACCCATCGTGATCAATTTTTCCGTGGGACTGAACCACTGTCATTTTCTGGTGCTTTATAACAGCTTACAAAGTGTTTCCGCAGTTACTTTCTCATTTGCTTTTCCCCAGTGCTCACGGCGTTAATGGCGGTGTATAGATGCAGAAGCCAAGAGAGGTTAAGTCATTTGCCCAAAGTTACAGAGCAAGGGGAGACCTGGACCTGAGCCCCAGTCCTTGGCCTCTGCTCTCACGCTTTCCCAAGTCCCTGCTGTGGGGACTTTGGTGGCAGCGGGCCAAGGCAGTTCCGGGCACCTAGGCTGATTGTGTGACTGTGAGTTTGGTAAGCCGAGCCTGGGAGGTGTTTGCAATGCCCTGAGCTGGCTCCTGGGAATGCATTCTGTGCCATGCAGGGCCGTGTTGCAACGTGACTAATGGATGAGAAGGTTGAGGAGGAAAGCCATTACTTCACCAACGTGAATCAAGGTCATTCGTCACCTCGGGAAGCACACGGAGCTGCGACATTCAGGAGGGAGGCACGCTGCCCCCAAGCCAAGCCACGATGTGGCCTGGCGCCGGTCCCATGCAGCAGGGAGAAGGGAAGTTTCTGGAAGCGAAGATGAGCTGGCAGCCAGGCCCAGGGCCCTGGCTGTGCATGCATCAGCCCCGTCTGAGAAAAAGAGTTTTGCCCAAGAGTGGGGCAATGGTGCAGTTTCCAGGAGGCGCTGGCAGGAGCTGACTGGCCACTGATACTGGCTGGGGTCTCTGGAGGACAGTGACTGGAGGATCAGTGGCCTCTGACCCTCTCCTGTCACCTGAGGAAATCAGGCCAATCGTGAGCCACTAGAGTGTCCTCACCGAGACGGCCTCTCTCCCTGGTGTAACAAGCCACATTTGCTGCTTTTCTGGGAGAGTGAGAAGCAACCACGTGGCTGACTTCTTTTCAAAGTTCTCTGCCTCAGAGGAGGAAGCCCCATGGGTGGAGGCCAGGCCTGAGGCCATCCTGCTCTGGGCCACAGCATGCTTGTGTCTGATGAGCGAGGACACGCCTCGTCTGGCTGAGGCTTCCATTTCACACTGGCGGTTCGAACCCCCATCATGGCTTCCTTTTGGGCTCCCCTCCTCAGGGGCCCGGGCCTGAAATGTGCTTGCCCTTCATCCCTCAGGATGTGTCCCTTCCTCAGAGAGGACTAAGTTAGCCCCTCCTCTAGTCTCGATGTGCTCCAAAGCCCTTCCTATTCACAGAAACTATCTGGCCTATTTATTTGCTTGCTTGCTTGCTTCTGATGTCTTCTCTTACTGAAAGGTAAGTCATGTGGGAGATGGAATCATGCCAGGTTTGGTTCACTATTACATCCTCCACACTTTTCTTTTCTGATTTATTTATTTATTTTAGAGTCAGAGTCTTGCTCTGTCATTCAGGCTGGAGTGCAGTGGCACAGTCATAGCTCACTGCAGCCTCAAACTTCTGGACTTAAGTGATCCCCCTGCTTCGGCCTCCTGAGTAACTAAAGACTACAGGTGTGCATCACCATGCTTGGCTAATTTAAAAAAATTGTTTTAATACAAAAATTAGCTGGGTGTCATAGTGTGAACCTGCAGTGCCAGCCACTATGGAGGCTGAGGTGGGAGGATCACTTGAGCCCAGGAGATTGAGTCTGCAATGAGCTGAGATCGTACCACTGCATTCTGGCCTGGCAACAGAGTAAGACCCTGTCTCATTTTTTTCTTTTTTTTTTGTAGACATGGGGTCTCACTATATTGCCCAGGTTGGTCTTGAACTCCTGGGCTCAAGGGATCCTTCTGCCTCAGCCTCTAGTGTCCCTGGGATTACATATGTGAGCCACTGGACCTGGCTCCCCTGAAGACTTTCTGTGGAGCCTGGCACCAGGGGAACCCAATATCTATCCTGTGAATGAATGAATAAACGCAAGGAAGTAAATGAAGAGGAAGTGGGGGTCAGAAGGGGCATGTTTTACATGAATAGATACCATGCAAAGGCCCTCCTGGGTACCATCACCAGTGCGGGGCAGCCCGTGAGCCCCTGGAGGGAGGTCTCCCTGACACCCTGCCCACTCCTCCTGGGGCCGAGCAGGAGTCACATCCAAGGGCTGGGTCATTATCTGATACATGAGTGGGTTGTGCGGATGAGTAAACAGGGACTGACCCAGAGGTCAGGTGTAACTCAGCCTCAGAAACTGCATGTGTCAATAGGAATCGAAGGGCCAAGGAATGTGTTTCTCGTTGATGTCAACTTGCTGCAAAGGACCACACCTGCTTCTCGACCCGGGAACGTGGGAAAGGGAAAGGCACGGCTTGTTTTGGTGGAGATGGAGGAGCTGGTAACAGTGGAGGAATGCCCTTCTTCTGATTCACAGCGGGGAGGTGCTCTGGCCCCTGCCACTGCCCGAGGACTTCGGGTAAGTAAGCCCGTGGCCCCCAACCCTTCCCCGTCAGACGCCCTGGCAGACGGCTTGTCCTGACAAGTCCGTGCTTTCTGGATGGAACAGCCTCCCTTTTGTCCAAACCCTTCCTTTGAATTTAAAATGCACAAAGCACCTTTCGAAGAGGAAAAGAATGGGATCAGGAAGAGGAGGCTGTATCTCATTTAGACACTCAAGCCCTCAGCTCCTGCCCGAGAGTTTCTGTAATTCGCTCCCACACCACGTCATGCCTTTTGGCTCCCAGCCAGGTGCGGTGGCATCCGTGGCTTCATCTTTCTGGGAAGTCAGAGTCACGTTCCCTGGAGTCTTCCCTTTCCTCTCCCCAGCTTTCGGTTGTCCTGATGAGAGGACGTGGCATTTGAGCAGTAGCTTCTGGAACCCAGCATGAAGCCCCACCCAGGCACCCTGACAGCACCACGGGAATGCTCCTGGCACGGCAAGCGGGACTCTGGAGAAGCACAGCCTCCGTGCTCCTTGTAGATGTTCAGTTCAAACTCCACGGTTTGTGTGACTCACTGAGGGGCTTGGTTTGGCTCTCGCTGACGAGTCTGTCATCGGTGCCAGGGGACATGCTTGTCCCCTCCTTCCTTCTAGCCCTCTCTCTTGCCCCAGGCCTTCATAAGCAGTGGGAGGGCTACTGTATTGCCCTCTGGCCCAAGCTCTGGTATTCCCTTTGTGGTGGGTGCTCTCATTCCTTTGCAATGTGCCCTGCAGTGTAAACCCGGGGGATCCATGAGACAGGGAACCCATGTCTGTTTTCTCCATTTGGTGTAGCATGCCAGTGGGCGTTTGCCAGACAGGGCCTATCATGTGGACCCTACACCTATTCACACACCTGCCATTTTCCTTCGGAATCCTGTTCCCAGTGGGTAATGGGTTTAAAAGCCCAGAGCTGAATTCTATCCACATTGGATCCGACCCACATTCCAATGCTCTTGTAAGTCTCCAGTTGGTCAAATGAGCAGTTTGATCCCTTGATCCTTCAAAATACCAGATATATTTATTTCTTCTTGCCTTTTGATCTTTCAAGCTTGAAATTTCTCGGCACATAAAAGTCTTCAAAATGCCCTCAAACTTCTGTCTCCAAAGGCAATTTTTTTTCACTTTTTCATTTTTTTGTAGAGATAGTCTCACTATGTTGCCCAGGCTGGTCTTGAACTCCTGGCCTCAAGTGATCCTCCCCCCTTGGCTTCCCAAAGTGCTGGGATTGCAGGTGTGAGCTGCTGTGCCCAGCCACCAAAGGCATTTTTACTTGGCTCTGTACAGTGGAGCTGCTTCTCTATTTGGAGGTTGAAGTTTGTGTCAGGTTCTTGAGTTTGTAAGAATAGGACATGAGAACAGAGAGCCTTTTAATCAGATGAGCAGCTATCTATGTTATGTTTTCACAGATTTTGATTCTTCTTCTTTTTTTTTTTTTTTTGAGACGGAGTCTTGCTCAGCTACCCAGGCTGGAGTGCGGTGGCACGATCTTGGCTCATTGCAACCTCCGCCCCCTGTGTTCAAGTGATTCTCCTGCCTCAGCCTCCCAAGTAGCTAGCTGGGACTACATGCCACCATGCCTGGCTAGTTTTTGTATTTTTGTATGTATTAGTAGTAGAAATGGGGTTTCACCATGTTGGCCAGGATATTCTCGATCTCTTGACCTCATGATCCGCCCATCTTGGCCTCCTACAGTGTTGGGATTATAGGCGTGAGCCACTGCGCCTGGTTGATTTTGATTATTCTAAGTAGGGATAGTCAAAGTCTTCATAGTGTTTGACATTTCATGTATTTATCAGCTGAAACTTATTGTTTCGTGGTTTCGAGGAATCTCAGTGAAATAATTCAGTGTTGCCAGATCCTGGAAATCTTTTCTCCCCAAGGCATTTGCTGTATCGTTAATAAATGTATGTATCACATGGAGAGGTATAATTAGAGTACACTTAGAATTAGTTTATTTCTGTAAAGATGCTTTTACCTTAGCTCGGTGTGGTGGTACGCACCTGTAGTCCCAGCTACTTGGGAGGCTGAGGTGGGAGGATTACTTGAGCCTGGGAATTTGAGGCTGCAGTGAGCTATGATCGCACCACTGCATTCCAGCCTGGGCCACAGACGCTGTCTCAAAGAAAGAAAGAAAGAAAAAATACTTTTTTTTTGAGATGAAAAAACTCTGTCACCCAGGCTGGAGTGCAGTGGTGTGATCTGGGTTCACTGCAACCTCCACCTCCCAAGTTCAAGCGATTCTCCTGCCTCAGCCTCCTAAGTAGCTGGAATTACAGGCACGCACTACCATCCCATGTTAATTTTTTTTGTAGTTTTAGTAGATAACTGGGTTTTACCATGTTAGCCAGGCTGGCCTCAAACTCCTGACCTCAAGTGATCCACCCGCATCGACCTCTCAGAATGCTTGGATTACAGGTGTGAGCTACTGCACCAGGCCAGAAAACAAAACAAAACAAAACAAAGACTTTACCTGGTCATTTAAAAAACAACCAAATGACCTAGGCAATTTTCATTAAGCCTATTTTCATAAGGGAGAACAAAACACAGTTCTCAACTTCTTGTCCCCCTTTGTCCCTACTTCCCTCATTACCTCCTCTCCTGCTTGTCTTTCTCTTCTCTCCAGGAGCTGAGAGTAGCCCCTCTTCCGATTTGAGGCTGGCCTGTCCATGTGCACCCTTAGCCTCACATCAACGGAGGATCACCCATCCCTTCCTTGTGCTAGAAACTTGATGGCTGTATTCCGTGAGCCTGCAGACTCTTGCTCTCCTCCTTCTTATTTAACTGCACCAGCTTAGGAGTGGCCTACATGCTCCATCTTCATCTCCTTACCCCATCTACGCCATAGTCTACCATGCTCTTGCTGAGGTTACTTACCTGGCCTCTTTCCTCTACACTCTTTTCCACACTCACTTGTCCAGGTGCACATTGATCCTACACCTGACTGTCCTACAAATAACTCAAAATCAAGATGGCGGGGAATAACTCACCATCTTACTCTATATGTCTGCCTGCCCTTCAGTATTTCTCATGTGGGATAAGGGTGCTATGATTAGCCCACTTGTCCAAGACAAAACACCTGGAGGTCATTCTTTTTTTTCCTTTTTTCTTTTCTTTTTGAGACAGAGTTTCGTTCTTGTCGCCCAGGCTGGAGTGCGATGGCACGATCTCGGCTCACAGCAACCACTGCCTCCCCGGTTCAAGTGATTCTCCTGCCTCAGCCTTCTGAGTAGCTGGGATTACAGGCGCCCACCACAACACCTGGCTATTTTTTTGTTTTTGTTTTTTTGTTTTGTTTTTGAGATGGAGTTTCGCTTTTGGTGCCCAGGCTGGAGTGCAACGGCGTGATCTTGGCTCAACACAACCTCTGCCTCCCGGGCTCAAGCAATTCTCCTGCCTCAGCCTCCTGAATAGCTGGGATTACAGGCATGTGCCACCATGCCTGGCTAGTTTTGTATTTTTAGTAGAGATGGGGTTTCTCCATGTTGGTCAGGCTAGTCTTGAACTCCTGATCTCAGGTGATCTGCCCACTTTGGCCTCTGAAACTGCTGGGATTACAGGCGTGAGCCACTGTGCCCGGCCACCTTTTTGTATTTTTAATAGAGAGGAGGTTTCACCATGTTGGCCAGGCTGGTCTGGAATTCCTGACCTCAGGTGATCCACTCGCCTCGGCCTCCCAAAATGCTGAGATTATAGGTATGAGCCACTGCGCCCGGCCTGGATGTCATTCTTGACTCCACTTGGCTGCCACATTCTATCGTTGAGTTCCACCTGCATGGTTCCCTTGGCCAGGGATAACACCATTTCTCACCTGCCTGACAGTTCCTGCAAAATCCTCACCTGATGTCACTATGGCTGCAAAGCTTCCCCAACTTCCTCCCTAAGAGAGACACAGTGGCACCTTTTTTATTTTTTAGTTTTAAGACAGAGTCTTGCTCTGTTGCCCAGGCTGGAGTGCAGTGACGTGATCTTGGCTCACTGCAGCCTCCACCTCTTGGGTTCAAGCGATTTTCCTGCCTCAGCCTCCCAAGTAGCTGGAACTACAGGTGCATCGCACCACACCCGGCTAATTTTGTAATTTTAGTAGAGATGGGGTTTCACCATGTTGGCCAAAATGGTCTCCATCTCCTGACCTTGAGGAGGCAGGTCTGATTTGCCTGCCTCGGCCTCCCAAAGTGCTGGGATGACAGGCATGAGCCACTGCACCTGGCCCAGTTGTACTTTTTTGACATATGTATGTCTTCTCTTATTTTCCCCGTTACTCTATTGCCATCATTTGTTTTTCTGCTGCTCTCACTTGCCAGATATGAACATCCAGAGAGCAGGAACTGTTTTGGCACAATTCAGTTTCTAGTACAGTGCATAGCACATAGTAGACCCTCAATAAATGTGTGGAAGTGAGCCCTCCAATATTCCAGGTAAGTACAAAGGGGCCTGGTTATTAGGGCCTCTTCATGGCTAGTGATGGTCAAAGAGAAAAATCGGGCAGCAATCCAAGAAGCACGGTAGCCCTCTTTTCCCCTTTTCTAGGCAGCTGGCTGTGCCTGCATTTCCTTTTGTGGCCAGAACATCAGAGCTTGAGGTTTGACTTTGTCATTTCCTGACCCTCTGAAACTCTGACCCTCTGAGTTTCATTTTGCCAAAGGACAAGATCCTAGAGGAGAATGCAGTCTCGAGCATTCTGTGACCCTCAGGCTCCAGGACCCTCCTCATGCCCACCCTCTCTCAGCGGTGTGCATGAGTGTGGCGTGTGCAAGCGTGTGCAGTGAGCCCTGGGTGTGCACATGCTGTTTACAAAGGCAGACCAAGGTGCCCAGAATGCCGTTCCAGCTGGCCATGGCTAGATGCATCTGCAGCGGTGTTTCTTTATTGGGGCAATGGCTGAGAAAGGAAATTGCATTGTTTTGGGGCTGTCTCAGGGAGGACATTTGATACAGCCACAAAGTTTAGCCTTCCAAGTAGCCTCCACTTTCAGCCGGTGCATTGGTTGGCAACTCCTGAGTGGGAGTCAGGGTTACTGGGGAAGGGAAGGGGAGGGTCTGTAGGAGGATTGGGGTCCAAGAGGGCTGTAGAGGAAGGGGCTGTAGAGCCAGCAGGCTGCCCTTCTGTGCTGCTCCGGGTGAGAACTGCCATCATCACACACTGGGAAGCTCAGTCATGGCTGTTAGCCGGGGCACAAGCCAACAGATGTATCAGCGACCCGAGATGGCATGGCAGCTGGGTGTGCAGCCAGGAAGGGGTGTGCATGTGGAGGAAGGGACTGGGGCCCAGCTCGGCTGCGGGCCTCCACAGTACCTGTTGGGGGTGGGGTTAGTCTTGAGTAACCCCTGAATGGACTTTACCCTGCAGCCGTTTTGTGTAACTCCTGTAATTAGCTAACTAGGTTAGTCATTGCTTACACCCTCCTGAGTCCTCAACCTTTTTTTATTTTTCCAGGACGATCTCTATAAACAGGTCATACAATATGCCACACGTTTTGTGCCAAATTCCTCTGCAGATATTTAACTCCCTTTTGCCTATTCAGGTGGCTTCAGGGCGGGCCACCTTCTCTTGCTGAGTGTCCTCACCTAGGGGTGATTTCACCGGTGGCTGCTGCCTTTCCCCCCAACCTGGCTTTACTTAAGGGATAGATTGTTTTATTTTTTATTTTTTGAGACAGAGTTTTACTCTGTCACCCAGGCTGGAATACAGGGGCGCGATCTCGGCTCACTGCAACCTCCGCCTCCTGGGTTCAAGCAATTCTCCTGCCTCAGCCTCCTGAGTAGCTGGGAATACAGGCACCCGCCACCATGCCCGGCTAATTTTTGTATTTTTAGTAGAGATGGGGTTTCACCGTATTGGCCAGGCTGGTCTCGAACTCCTGACCTTGTTATCCGCTCACCTCGGCCTCCCTAAGTGCTGAGATTATAGGCATGAGACACCGCTCCCGGCCTAGACTGTGTTATTTTGTCCACCCCATGTATACCTTTATTCACTCCCTCCTGCCCCAAATGTGACTGAGCATGGACTAAGCCAGGCACTCTGCAAAGTGTATCAGTCTAACTGAGGCTCCATCCCCACCCTGGAGAGCTTGTAAGCTAAGCACTGTTAAAGGAGTTCCTGTATGGACCAAATC